AACCCTGTGTTCAGAAGACTCTTTGAAGCAGCACAGCAATCTAGGGCTGGCCTAAAAGGGATCTTGGAGGTCATTTTCTAGTCCAACTCGCTGCTCCAGCAGGGTTAGAAGTGTGTGTGTGTGTGTGTGTGTAGAAACAGTTGTTAAGGTTCCCGGTAGTTCGGACAACCAGTAAATCGGGCCTCTGGCTGGCCCTGCCCCTCTCCACCCGCTTCTCCACTCGCTGCCCAGTCAGTCCATCTTGTGAATACGCAACATCGTGCGCATGTGTGACATGCCTGTAGCTGGCTTTTGCCCGCCCGCCAGGCCAGTGGTTGCTGCCTGCATTTTGCTGCGGCAGAGCGAAAAGCCGGCCCCTCCCTTCAGGAAACTGCTCCTGTCTGCCCACAAGACAGGAGCCTGCGAGTCATGCTAGCCCCTCACACTGTCCCCGGTCCTCACCCAGCCCTCTAGAGACCTCTCCATAGCTCCCCGGGCCTTGCCCAGCCTTCTGCACGCCTCCCCATAGCTCCCCGGGTCTCCCCAGTCCTCCTCGTAGCTGCCCAGGCCTCGCCCTGCCCTCCCCAGGCCTCCCCATAGCTCGCTGGACCTTGCCCTGCTCTCCACAGACCTCCTCATAGCTGCTTGGGCCTCGCCTTGCCCTCCCCGGGCCTCCCTGTAGCTCCCCAGCCCTCGCCCAGCCCTCCCTGTAGCAGCCCGGGCCTCGCCTTGCTCTCCTCGTAGCTGCCAGGGCCTCGCCTTGCCCTCACCGTTGCTCCTCCTAGCTTTCCGGGCCTTGCCTTACCCTCCTCGTAGCCTTGCCCTCCTCGTAGCTGCCTGGGCCTCAGCTTGCCTTCCTCGTAGCTGCCCGGGCCTCATCTTGTCCTCCTCATAGCTCCCCGTAGCTGCTTGGGCCTCGCCTTGCCCTCCTCGTAGCTGCCCGGGCCTTGCCCTCCCTGTCGCTCCACATACCTCCCCAGGCCTCGCCCAGCCCTCCTCGTAGCTCCCTGTAGCTCCCCAGGCCTCACCTTGCAGTCCTCGTAGCTGCCCGGGCCTCACCTTGTCCTCCTCATAGCTCCCTGTAGCTGCCTGGGCCTCGCCTTGCCCCCCTCATAGCTGTCCGGCCCTCACCTTACCCTCCTCATAGTTCCCCATAGCTGCCTAGGCCTCGCCTTGCCCTCCCCGTAGCTCCTCATAGCTGCCTGGGCCTCGCCTTGCCCTCCTTGTAGTTGCTCAGGCCTCGCCTTGCTCCCCTCATAGCTGCCTGGGCCTCGCCTTCCCTCCCCATAGCTCCGCGTAGCTGCCTGGGCCTCACCTTGCCCTCCTCGTAGCTGCCTGGGTCTTGCCTTGCCTTCCCCGTAACTCCCCGTGCCTCACTTTGCCCTCCCCATAGCTTCTCCTAGCTGCCCGGGCCTCTCCTTGCCCTCCTCATAGCTACCCAGGCCTCGCCTTGCCCTCCCTGAAGCTCCCCGTAGCTCCCCAGGCCTCACCCAGCCCTCCTCGTAACTGCCCGGGCTTCGCCTTGCCCTCCTCGTAGCTCCCCAGACCTCGCCCAGCCCTCCCTGTAGCTCCCTAGGCCTTGCTCTGCTCTCCGCGGGCCTCCCCGTAGCTCCCTGGGCCTCACCTTGTCCTCTCCAGGGCTATCCACAGCCTTGGAAACTGACAAAAAACAGAAAACCTCAGTCACAAGACTGTGTGGGATATTATAACTGGTCATAAGTGTGTGTGCGTGTGTGTGTCTGTGTGCATCGCTGTCAAAACACCAAAAACTGGTCAAGTAGCTCTGTGGAGGTCAGTCGTAAATTAGAACACTTGTTAAGCAACTGACCATTAAACAAGAACCACTTATATTTGGTTTGCCAGTCGCATGGCCACCTGGCCACACCCACCCATCACATGACCATCTAGCCATGCCCACCCGTCACATGACCACCTAGCCACACCCATCCAGTCACATGACCAAGCCACACCCACAAATTAGGCCACGCCCACAGAACTGATTGTTAAGAAATTTGAACCCCACCCCTGCTGTAGTCTCATTAAAGCCCATATCTAAGCAATCTCAGAAGCTCAGTATTATTTGTATGTACTTACAGAACAAGGAACAAAAGCAAAACAATATTCCAAACAAGGATCTTTCCGGAGGTGCTGTCCCTAAATCACTGAAAGATAAGCAACATATGATACTGAGCATCCTGCAATGCAATTGGAATGACAAAACTTATGGAATACACAACTAACACCCATTATTAATGTTGACACTAATGATAAGTAATGTAGTATGAGTAAAGATAAAGATTTCTTTGATAACTACATAAATTCTTGCAGGATAGTGGTTTGCCTACCTCCATGATATATATTTTAAAATTCCATATCTAGCCTGCATATCTGGGATTTCCTGGAGGGTTTTTATCCAACTACTCCTACATCTGAGCCTGCTAAATTTTTTAAGAATCAGCTAAGCTTAGCAATGTATCCAATTATTTTTCTCTCCTTTCAAAAAATATATGAGACTGACCTTAGAAGATGGGGGAAGAGATGCTTCCCAGAAAATGATCAGATAAAAGAGGGTGTAGCACACAGGTGCATAATGGGCAGAGAAAGAAATTCAGAAAGGAATTTCCCTAACTTGTCAGGTGGTAAAATAGATCCAGCCGAACTGTATTGAAATAGTTTGTCATACAGCAAACTAAGCACAATTATACTTATCAAAGTATATACATTTAGAAACAGGAAACACATATTTGTAAATAATGGCTAATATTTACATAGCATAAGCAGTTACGCATGTTTTATATGTCAGTTCAGAGTGACAAGACTGTTGATATGACATAAATCTGATTCTTAATATTTCTTCTCAGTTTCATTTAAGAACACTGAGGTAAAATAATCTTCCAACATCAAAAGCCAAGGATGTCACTAAAATCCCTAAGTAGTAATTGATGTCAAACATTGATAATATCAATAATAATGAATTTATACTTTAATAAATCAAATAACTCAAGGAACTGCACTGCTAAAAGTCACTGCTATTTTGGAAAGAAAACCATTGCAGAGATATACTATTTCCAGCTTCAATTATACAATACTTACAAAATATCATCTATAACCCAGGCCTAGGCTATTGCTTTCTAGATAATATATAAGAGATCAAATATCTTTATAATAGATACTGTAGTCTTGAAATTCATAAGCAAATGCCAATTTTTGAGGAGCAATATATCAAACTGGTTTAGAACCAAGGCTTGCTTTAAAACAGAAGCAGCAGCTTGAACTAGGAGGAAGGGAAAGAATATACTGTACCTTAACATTATACTGTACAATTGTAAATGCAAATCCTCAAATCTCTTTATTCTCTAATTCCCTAATAATAAAGTACAATAAACTTCAGCTGACTTGCTTTAGAACTAAAAATTGGTCTACTAAAGATGTTGAGTGTTTCAGACTACATTTTGGTCTCCCTGACTCAAAGCAACTACACATCTATTACAAGGGACCAGCAAAAGAGAATACTTAGTTCTGTAGTCAAAACTACACATCTCAAAATAGTAAAAATTATTTTCATAGTTTCTGTGTTTAGAATGAGCTGTCTAAAGTTCTACTAATTAGCTAGAGCAGGGATGTCCACCCTGTGGTCCATGGGTCACATGTGGCCCTGAACTAGTAACATGGCCTCACAAGATATAATAACAATATTTAAAAAAATAATGGAAGTTTGTTATTTATATGTTTTATATATAATATTTTATAGGTGGTCCATATGTGATCTAGGCAAACCAAAAGGTTGGACACCCATGAGCTGGAGGCTTTAAGAATCTGGAAAATATAAAAGATTGATATATAAGAATTTAAATTTACAGCAAAATTGGATCTGGTGGAGAGAAGGAAGAAAAGGAAAAGGTTTTATACACTAATTCCAAAAGTAAATGAAAGTTCAACATACCAACTTTAATATTCCTTTTTTTTTTAAATAAATGCAACAGTCTAGTGAATATTGTACGGTTTGGGGCTTGTGACTGAGGAGATTAAAGAATGGTCATGAAGAATCAAAAGATAACTATAAGACACTCATTTTCTTTCAGCCCAAACAGGAGAGTAAGTAAAGTTTCATAGTTGTAACATTAGAAAATAAATTGCAGTGCAAAAATAGAAAGTATACTGACCTGATATAGGGTACCAAAGGGTCAACATGGTTTAAGAGAACTCCAATAATATATGGAAACACACAAGCAGCAGATATTAAAATAACCAGGGCAGAAGGCAAGAAACTCAGTCCTTGCTGATACCACCACATTTCAAATACTAAAATAAATAAATAAACAAACAAATAATCTTTTTTTGTTCTTGCCTTGAAAGCAAATAAATTGTTTTATTTATAACAACATTTCTACATCATCCCATTTCTCCCAATTCATTAATATACTATCCTTTTGCTCTGTATCTGAAAATATTTCCAATCCAATCTTTTCATTGAATTATTGAATCAGGACATCATTAGGAACAGTATTTTCAGCTTCCCTATTTAAGTTATGTTCTAACTGTAGCTCAAACCATGATAAAGTGAACAAACTATCTGGAGTGTGTATGAATGTTTTTAAGAATAGGAAGTGGGGGAATGAAAAATCAAATCAAAATGTTGATAACCTTTACCTTTTAGTCTAAAAATAAGTGGAACCCAATGCTGTACAATTTGGCCTTCAATATATGCAATTATATATATTTGTAATAGAAAGTACAAACAGCCACATTCATGCCTCTATCAATTTCCATCCAACTCCACAGGACTGCCTTTAAAGACTGGAGGTAATGCAACATACATCTAAAGGAAATAATCTGATATGTCGCATAAGACCAGCACTGCAAGAGCTGAATGAGATGCTGATTCATTTCCAATTGTCCTGCAAAGTGATAGTTTTTTAATATTATGGTTCGTCACACAGTCAGCCAGATGTTTAGACTGGATTTCACATTTTTGTCCTCCCATTGAGTCTTACACAAGGACTTGGGATAGGCAGATAATGTTTGATAGTGTTAAAAGATACTGTCATAGGATGAAAGCTATTCCAAATAAAGATGCCTTTTGCAATTGACTGGTGTTGATTTTGTCAATGCCAGTGGTGTTCAAGTTGACTTCTAACTGATATTTATTACATATTGTGCCTTGGTAAATGGCTACAGTCTGATCCATTATGACTTGTATGGATGAAATTTCATACCTAGTCAAAGTACGGTAAACCTCATGCAATCAATATTTTCTGCAGCCCATTTTGAAACTCAATTGATCCTTTCTAATGAAACATTTACTCTGTCCCGAGACAAATTTTAGCCAGTTATCGATCAATCTTTTATCCATCAAATCTCTTTCTCCCTGTAATGCAATTCAAAAGTCAAAACTTCTATATAATTTGAAAAAAAAAATACCAATTACTACCAACCTGCCTTCAATCGAGGATCTGTACACTGCACAAGTCAAAAAGAGAGTTGTGAAAATATTTACAGACCCCTCACATCCCGGACATAAACTGTTTCAACTCCTTTCCTGAAAATGACGCTATAGAACACTGCACACCAGAACAACTAGACACAAGAATAGTTTTTTCCTAAATGCCACCACTCTGCTAAACAAATAATTCCCTCAACACTGTCCAACTATTTACAAAGTCTGCACTATTACTATTAATCTTCTCATCACTCCTTATCAGCCATCCCTTCCCACTTGTGACTGTATGACTGTAACTTTGTCACTGGTACCCATACGATTTATATTGACTATTTCCTTGTATGATTTGATTGCTTATTGTACCCTATGGCTATTATTAAGTGTTGTACCTTATGATTCTTGACTCTTGACGAATGTATCTTTTATTTTATTTTATTTTATGTATACTGAGAGCATTTGCACCAAGACAAATTCCGTGTGTGTCCAATTCACACTTGCCCAATAAAGAATTCTAATCAATTGGACGAGGAACTAAGCCCAGCAAACAACTTGCATCTTTAAACTGCACTATCAATAAAAGTTTTAAACTCTTTATTCTCCATACTGTGGTATGGAGAAGTAACCATTGCAGTTGGTTTAGGACCTGCCCATACTTTGTTTTCCCCTCTTTTAAACCAGAGAAAATAGGAAAGAGGGACAAAATAGCTAACAAAGCCAATTTATTATCACTAGCAACTGTCTGTCCGGAACACCAGAATCGGAGGGTCTCTGCTTCAGCCAAGTGGTCTTCCCAGATTGGGAAGAGGCTGGAGGAGGAAGCTATTTTCCTAAGGAAAGCTCTGCTCTGCTCTGCTCTGCTCTGCTCTCCTCTCTCGGGCACCGCCGTAACGAACACTATGTATTCTCTCTCTTCTCCTGATGGTTTGAAAAATACAGAATAGATAAGCAACAGCTGCAATGATGACTTTTCTTGAGCCTTCATTTTAGGACTTTGCCCTCAGCGCGGATATATCCTAAGGGCTAGACTTTAAAAAGCTGGCTAACACAATAGAAACTTAACCTCCGCCACCAGCAGCGCGCCGGCAGCCTCCTCCACCGTCCGGTCCGAGCGGCAGATAAAGCAGCGATCTCCTTTGCAAGGCGGCGCCCTCGTCGTTTGTGCGGGCTAAGGGCTTCCTGATATTCGATCCTCCCAAACGAGGTTATTCCAGTTATTTAACTACCTCACGCTCTCTTGCCGCTGCCCCCACCCTCCGAGGGCGGGCCTGTACGAAGGGGACGGAAAACGACAGAAGCAATCAGAGCTCGCGCCCTTCCAACCACCCTCCCTCCCTCCCTCCCAACCCCGCATGTGGTTGCCGCCTCTTTGCCCATGCGCATCAAAACACCAATCCCCGGGTGTCCCACGCACGCCCCCTGCTCCGTTAGTTGCCTGTTCCAGTCGCGCGCCCTTCCTAAGCAACCACGCAGACGGCCTTATTTACGGCAGACGTAAAAAAAAAAGACGTAAACGCGCCTCCCGGGCGAAGAGGCTGGTTAAGGTAAATGCCGGGTGTTCTTGGTGTGCTTCAGGATTGGCTCTGTTGGGAGGTAGAAGCTTGGCGTCGGGTGTCCTTCCTGTTCACCAAAGAAGGTTGACTCATGTTGAGTCTCTCTGCCTCACCGGCCGCGAGGTGGGTGGGCAATGGTCGTCCTTCTTTTCTCTCTTGCTGAGCCTGGTAGGCTCCTGCGCAAGAGATAGGGAGGGTGTCGCTTGCTCTGCCTTGTTTTTCTACTCGGAGGTGGCTGCTGCCTTTTATGTCCGGACGGGTTGGCAATCAGTCAGTCAGTTCGCGGGGGGAGCGGTGTAACCGGAGCGGGCGTTCTTCAAATGCCGGGGACAAGTCAAAACAACCCTCTCCTCCACATAGATATAAGCAGAGTTTGTGTCAAATACAGGGGTGGCACGCGTAAAATAAAACGTCCCTCAGCCTTATATGGATTTTCAAGACTGAAATATCTGGTTTGAGTTGTGTTCAGATTTTCGACTGCTGGTGTATTGGTGGAGTTGCCCCATTTGCTTTCCTTTAACGAAAAGCTAAAATTGGAATCTTGTACATTGTGTAAATCCGCCTTATTTGTAAAAACTCGGTCTTTTTGTCACTTAAGTTTCATTAAGAGTAACTTAAGGTTTCCTCAGTAGTCTTCTGAAGTGTTTTTTATGCAACTCGCTTAAGAGGTATAAAATTGCAAAAACTTTTCATTTATTACATTTTCTTTTAGTTATTGTATTTATTGAGTGCCTTAGACTTACTGATATAAGTGAATCAGTTAACTAATTTGCTGGAAAAGATATATCCATTATGTACTTCATGATTATATAGAAAGTAATAAAATCTATATTACTGAAGACCAGTTTTAAATACTCTTAAGTGAAAATTAAATAGAGAAGCTGATAACTTCAAACAATTTGGAATGTGCAGTAAATTACAAATTTATTCCATTGCCTTGAATTTAGCTTACGATACATATCTCTGAACTAGAGCTTCTTGAAGAAAAAAATTAATTATTATTGAAATAATTATTCTTCAGGCTAAATCATGCTCAAACTAATCCCAACGCTTCTCAAATATTTCTTTATTCAGAAAAAAAACAACAGTACAAACTGGACCATAACACATACTTTCCTGTATTAAAAACAGGAAAACTAGAACTCTCCATCTGCTGATAGTCTATTATTACAATATAGAAATGTTCCTGATCGCAGCCCATAGTACTCCTAACATCGGCCCTCTGGTCTCCTCCCTCTTTTGGAATGCATCTGTCATGACGGAAGTGCATCTTCAATGTAATCCCTAACATAATCCACAAATAGTGCTTTCCAGGGAATAACAAGGGGTTACCAGATATGGGCAACACACTTTATTTAAGTGGAGGATGAAGATTAAAACAAAGCAAAGCAAATAGGAATAAGAATTTAATGAACAGAAGGGGCTTTGTTTGTGAAAATTATTTTTAAAAATGTGATGAGTGATCAGGAGATAGACATTTTACACATAGGAAGCATGTATTTGTGTTTTCATTTCTAAATCAGTATTAAGAATTACCTTAACTAGTAAAAATCGGTAGGTATTTTTTTAAGATGATTTTCCATAATGTAATTATTTTTCATTTTTAATCTTTATTGTTGGTTGCACAATCAGTCAGATATTTAGACTAGATTTAGTATTTTTGTTTACCTATTTAGTGTTTTCCAAGTACCTTGGATAGAGAGATATTGTTGAATAGTATAAAAGATACTGTCAACTCATAAAACATTCCTATGCCTGTTTTAGCAGTTGCCATAAAAAAAGGAGGTGGGGAGAAGGAAGTAAATCTGGAACAGCAGTGGAGCAGTTTGAAAGCGAAAGTACATTTCAATTCTTAT